GGAAATAAAATGTCTTCTGAAACAAGATCATGTTGTTCAAGAGATCCCCATCCAAAATGTCGTAAGGATTTCTATTTTTTTGATTGACTTCTGCTTCCTGATTAGGATCACAGGATTTAGGGACCTCAGGTAGCCTATAGATCATCTGTTATAATGCAATACCTTTAGTATCTGAGATGCTGAAGCCAAGACAGTAATATTGCTCATACATACCTCTCCCAGAATGTATAAACTAATATTCAGTTGCTTCTTTTTGTGATGAATATATTTAAAGTAGAAATATAAAATGATATTTATATAGCACTTCAAGGTTTCCAAATTCTTTACATACATTATTTGATGTTAAGCCCATAGGAGCCCAACAAGGTCATGCCACAATAGTTATTATTTTCATTTTGCAGATGAAGAAAAGAAAACAATATAAAAAGTTAGGTTGTTGTATAGAGGAAGGATTACAGTCTATTTCTATTTGTCCCTTAGTGTAGAGCTAAGAGAAAGAAATAAAATGTACAAAGAGGTAATGTTTGTCTGGATGTCAGTATTTCTGTATATGTGTGTATGTGGGGGGAGTAGAAATAATTACCAAAAGGGCTAACAGTGGAATGAATAACCTTGGTCTGTACTAAGTTTATCCTCTTTGGAAGTCTTGAACCAGGGCCTTGATTGTCAGCTGGGTTAGGACAGAGGTTCTTTTTTCAGATATTGTTGGATTGATTGGCTTGTTGAGGTCCAGAATAAATTCAAAATTCTGTGAAGTTAAAGGATTTGCCCAAGTTCACAACTAATTAATGTACAAGTTGGAATTGAAACCAGTGTTCTCTTGAATCCAGGTTCAACACATTTTCAACCAAAATCTACTATTTCTCTATTAACATTAAACCTGCCACAACCACTAAATTTTGTGAGAGGTATCATTGCCCCTTTCTAAAAAAAATATGCTTTGTGTTCAACTCAGAGCTTTTTTTAGTAGGACTCCATCTCCTCTCTGTTCTGTAGAAACAGTTCCCCTCCCATGTAAATTTCTAACATCATAATTCAAGTGGTGCATGATTAGTTTTGGGATAAAAATTCAAAACCAAAAGTCTAGAAGGCAATATAGAGCTCAATATCTAACAGTAATGATATTCTGGCATTATTTTGTTCCCAATTACTTGGTGTTTCTTTATTTTATTTTTAATTTATGGAATAAAACATGAATTCCCAGTCATTTAGATATTGCTTTTGAGAGCTGAGTAAGTCTCTTTGATAATTCTTCTTAGAACAGTTTTTGTGTCTGCAAATGCAAGTTTGGGGGCACAACGGTTCATAAGTAATTGAAAAATTTTTGGCCCTCATTGCCATTCCTCTCCCTTCTATGAATCCTTTTCCTGACATCCTCCATCACCAACACACAAAGGCAATATAAACTGAGATTTCCATCCAGACATTCATCTAATTTGAGAAAAAAAAACACTAGAGGATTAAAAGTTTAACTGTGTCCCCAGTTGTACTTCCTACCTTGGTCTGAGGTAGTGTATCATTCAAGGAAGAGAAGACAAATGACTTTTCCCTTCGGCTTAATTAGAGTGTTTACACAAGATTGTAGTGATAAATTGGAATGTTCTAAGCTTTAGGTTCCACATTTCACTAAATAAAAAAAATGAGTTCCTTGCACTTGAGTCCATCAGACAAGATCTATGGCTGTTCTCTGACCGGGTAGGTTTTAGAAACTTTAAGAGTTGGTATTTTAGGATAGTGATTTTAAAGGACAATCCCACTAGGGGACACCCAGATGAGATCAGGGACTTGTGACTAATGTGCTTTTACTGAAGCTTGATAACTGATTGACAGAATCCAGTAACAAAAAGTAGAGATAGTGTTTGTCTTCTTAGGTTCAGAATTTACCCTCTCTAAATGAGGAATGAACACATCTTCTTAGCTATTGCTGGTTGAAATAGGTTTTACTGAGGCATTTTCCTCTTTTGACATAATAAATATTAACTTTTTGATTATATCCAAAAGTAGTTGTGAAAACACCTTTAAAGGTTCCCACAGGTATAAGTTGACTTACATTTCACATTTTTCTTCTCAGGTTAAAAATTTAAAAAAATGCTTCTCCCCCTTCTCTATCTTTTACACACACACACACTTATCCTGAATGATCACGTTTTCTCTATATTTTCCTCTCCCCATACACTCTATAAGTATATTCCCCACACATAAACAGCTCCAAATAGAGACTGGTACTCAGTGACAACTTTTATTCTTTTCAGTGGGTTACACAAGTTCCAATATCTGTTATGGGGTGTTGCCCTATGAAAATTACATTTTAAAAATTGAAATGTTGTTGGGAGTTGTCATAGAAACATAAAATTTAAGCAATCATTTATATTTATCTGAAAATACCAGGGAAACTAAAGAATTAAGGATCAATGAATTGCCACTAGAATTTTTTTGGGATTTCTATGTTTATGGACTAGACTTATGTGTCACTGTAGAAGGAATTTTCAAGGACAGAACTCTCTATATCATTGCAGACCAGAACTTGCTATCCAAATGATTGTATAATGGAGATGCATAAGTTTGGTGAGTGAGTAAGTGACTTGTTTAGGATCACATCAACTAGTATGAACAAAAAGTAAGATTTGACACCAGGTTTATTTAACTGAGACTAGCAAAATATACATTATGAAACCAATGCATCTTGCCTTTTTTGTAAATATTTATCAAATTGGATGAATAGTAACAGATTTTACTAAAATTTGCAGAATACTTTACATGGATATTTTCTTTTGAGCCTGATGGCAAGTCTTTGCATAAAATATATATGTATTATTTCTCCCTTTTATGGTTGTGTGAATTAAAGCTCAGAAAGGTTCCTTCAATTGTCCTTAGTCATAGTCAATATGAGTCAGAAAGAAGACATCATGACACTAAGGGTAGTATCTAAGGTAGCTCTAAAGGTAGTTCTCTGCCCATCTGGAAACTTGACTTCTCACCATATACATGGAAAGAAAAGTCTTGTTAAATTGAACTGAGACTGACACTTTTTGGGCACTTGCACTAATATGAACAAAAATTAATCTCTTCTGAGACTAGCAACATGCTATTTGGTGGAAAATATTTTATATATACCTTACTCTGGACTTCTGATCCTGTCATCTCTACATTTGAGGGTACCATCATCATCTTTCCAGACACCTCTCTCTCTCTCTCTCTCTCTCTCTCTGTCTCTCTGTGTCTCTCTGTTTCTCTGTCTCTGTCTCTCTGTCTCTCTCTCTCCCTCTCTCTGTCTCTCTCTCTCTCTCTCACACACACACACACACACACACACACACACAATGCCCATTCACTTACAATGTTCTATCAATTTTACCTTTGAGACATATCGTCTTTACAACCCCAGGTCTCATTTGCAAGTGTGAAAGCTCTGGTGCAAGCACTCAGTACCTCTAACCAGGATTATTGCAATGGCCTTGTGGTTAGTTGACCTGTCTCATCCAATCACCTTCAAATATAGTCAACCCTGTAATAGTTATCAGATTGTTCCTCCTAAAGAGTAGGTCTGACCAAGTCACCACACCACCTCTACTCAATAGACTCCAATGACTCCTTATTACAACAATGGTCAAGTGTAAAATCACCAGCTTAGCTTTTAAAGCCCTCCATGTTCTCATTCTTTTTTTACCTTTCCAGTCTATTTATACCACAATCCCCTTTACCTGCTTAGAGACAGTTAGGTGGCACTGTGGGTAGAGTAATGGACCTAGAGTCATAAAGATTTGAGTTTTCATCTCACTTCAGATACTTCAAAGCTCTGTTATCATGAGTAAATCACTTAACCTCTATCTGCCTCAGTTTCTTCATATAAAAAAGAGACAAAATAGCACTTGTTTCTCTTGGGGATTTGGACACTAAAATAATAAAACATATTCAAAACCCTTTGCAAACTTTTAAAAATACAAATTTTAGTTATTCTTATTCTCATTATTTTCTCTAAGTTCTAACTTATTTCCTTGTTGTTACTCACACAAGACTCAATATTTCTGATTGTATTTTTAAATTTCTCTGAACCCTGGATTTGTTTTTCTTCTTAACTTTGCCTCCCAAATCCCTTGTCTTAATTAAAGTCTTCACTAATATCCCACATTATACTAGAACCTCTCAGTCCTCCTTAATACATGGACATTGCCCTTGAGAATGTCATACATAAATACATATATATGCTAATATATGTTTGTTTGCACATTGTCTCATTTGACTGTAAGCTCCTTCAGATTAGCAATTAATTATACCTTTATTTGTATCCCCAGGGATTATCATATAGCCTGGAATGCAGTAAGTCCTTACCAAATTTTTATTGAGTTAAGGCCCCCATTTTACCTTTGAGGAAACTGAAACTCAGGAGTGTTTGGGTATTTTATCATATTCAACATCATTAATATATGTCAGAGGAAGAATTCCAGGTCAAATCATCCTGAATCCAAGTTTAATGACATTTAAACATGCATTAATTCAGATAGTTAGAGACTGCAATAAATGGGGTCATTTAGTTTTGGCGAAGAAGGTTATGAAATAGTATTGCTGATATTTCTCAGAATTACCATCAGGAGAACTTCTATGAAGATCTCCATCTAATCCTCATTAACTTTGTGATCAAAAGAAAATCATCCCATAACTCTGAACTTTTTTCACAGAGGAAAATTTGAAATACCAATATTTACAGTTCTCATGTCATAAGTTTGTGCTAAGGAATTTTTAAGCCTTAAAGCACTATACAATTGTGAGGCATCTTTGGGTCCTCAGCTCTTTCTTCTCTGTTTGTGAATACCTTTTCTGGATAAAATTAAATCTGATATCTATCTTTGGTATAAATAAGTTATTTATAGGAACAATCTGTCTCCTTCTTACAGATGAGAAGCAATCCAAAAGTCCTGTGCTCACTATCTTTCCAAAAGATTGAAAATACAATTCCTCCATTCACCTGTTTCCTGTTCACAGAAACGGAGAACAAAGTAGAAATGATGGAGAAGAATTATTCCATCCCAACTGAGTTCATCCTCTTGGGAATCACCAGTGATCCAGAGCTAAAAGTGGTCCTTTTTGTTCTCTTTCTCATCATTTATTTGGTTATTCTTATAGCAAATCTTGGGATGATCATCTTAATCAGGATAGACCCCCAACTCCATTTGCCCATGTACTTCTTCCTTAGTCACATGTCCTTCTGTGATCTCTGCTACTCCACAGCCATTGGCCCCAAGATGTTGGTAGACTTCTTTGCCAAAGACAAGACCATTTCCTTCACTGGCTGTGCTCTGCAATTCTATTTCTTCTGTTGCTTTGTAGATTCTGAGTGCTTATTGTTAGCGGTAATGGCCTTTGATCGCTACATGGCAATAAGTAACCCTTTGCTTTATACAGTAAATATGTCTAGCCAGGTTTGCTACTTATTGATGGCTGGTGTCTACATGGTGGGGGTGTTGGATGCTCTGCTCCATACTACTTTAACCTTCACACTGAGTTTCTGCAGGTCCAATGAGATTAATCATTTCTTCTGTGATGTTCCTCCTCTTTTATTAATCTCTTGTTCTGATATCCACATCAATGAGCTAGTGATCTTTGCTGTCTTTGGCTTTATTGAAATGGTCACCATTTCAGTGGTCCTCATCTCTTATTGTTACATAATCTTGTCTGTGTTGAAGATCCACTCAACTGAGGGCAGATACAAAACATTTTCAACCTGTACTTCTCACTTAACTGCTGTCACAATCTTCCAGGGTACCATGCTTTTTATGTACTTCCGGCCTAGTTCTGCCTATTCACTAGACCAAGACAAAATGACCTCCTTGTTTTATACTCTTGTCATTCCCATGTTAAACCCCTTGATCTACAGTTTGAGAAACAAAGATGTGAAAGGGGCCCTGGGAAAACTGAAAAATAAAATATGTTCTTAATATTGGTTGCTAACATCTCAATGAATTAGACCCTATAGTGGGAGATTGGGGATCTGAATGCCCAATTCAATTCATTAAAGTTATGCTAAGCCACTTGAGCTGCTTGAAGTCTTATTGAAGTGATAGTATTAACACGTCAATACACAAACAATAAATGTCAAAATGTGAAAGGAACCTCAGAGTTCACATGGTCCAATTTATGCTTAAACAGGCATCTATTCAAAAACATTTCTGATAATTGTCTATATGTCAAATATTCCTTAGAAAGTGAAATTTTCGGGCAACTAGGTGGTGCAGTGGATAGAGCATCAGCTCTGGAGTCAAGTGGAACTGAGTTCAAATGCAGCCTCACACACTTGAGACTCACTAGCTCTGTAATGCTAAGCAAGCTATTTAACCCCAATTGCCTCACCAAAAAAAGTGAAACTTTCCAAATGATGTGTGTATATACATACATACATATATATACACATACCTATGCTCACATATAAACACATGAACACATGTACATATACATATTCACATGTGTTTGTATTATTTATGTTATTTTATATACATGAAAGAATATTTGTAATGAAGATTTTAAGAAAATAGAACTATGAATCACAGATTATATTTTTACCTCAGTGAGCTATCTATATAATGATGACTAAGTTAAAAGGACAAAGGTTCTACATTCATCAATATCTCTTATATTAGCTTATCACTCTTTGCCATGCATTATCTTACTAAATAACTGTGGCCTTATTTTCTGTATCATAGAACTATTGTTACTTTGGCCAGATATGTGATATCATTTGTATAAGAAGATCCTGGTAAGGAATTATGCGCTCTACCAATTCATATCACAGTGGAATTTCCCAGGGTCACAGAACCAAGTATGTTGCAAAGATGGGACTTCTATGCAGGTCTTCATCACCAAGAGACCTGCTCTGTATCCACTACATTTTTGTGTTTTGATTTTCAAATGATCTAATATGTGTGGAGGGTTTTGCAAATATTAAAGCTTCATTATAGCTCTCTATGATTATACTGTTTATCTGAAACACCTGAATTCTATTTTGTAGCTGCTAAACCAAATGAACATGAATTAGAGGCATGCATTGTAGTGTAGTATTTCTATCTCTGCCATTATCTCTTTCTGATGATTATTAATTATATAATTATTAATAATTATATATTCAAAGAGAATGAAGATTCAATAAAGATCATTGTTATTTGTCAACTAAGAGAGCATTAGTAATGTGGGAGCCACCAGTTTCAGTGAAATGATGAAATCAAAAATGAGATTATAAGGAATCCAAAAGTTATGTTAGTAAAAACCGTGTTGTGCATATAATATAAAAAGATCAAATGCAATGTCACAGATATTTCACACATGATGGGATTGTGATAAATTCAATTGCATATGTAAGATGAGACTAATTTCAGTGGGATCATATTTTTAGTGGGAAAAGATGATCTTGTGGTCATCTAGTCTAACTCTTTTAGAGATGAGGAAATCAAAGAAATTGAGGTAAAGATTTTAGAGTAACAAAATCAGGTGTATACTGCCACATTTAGTCAATATAGTGATTTTTTTAATAAGTTCTTTTTCATTATTGATGTTCTCTCTTTCAATATATTGCTAGAAGGCATGACATTATCATCTGGGGAGGGGAAAGAGGAGAGATTTATCTGGTAACAAATTAATAAAAAATAATGTATGGAAATATTGTGTAGACATTAGGAAGGGCAGTGGACTTAAAATGAATGGTACATGCAAAGATACATATGTAGGAAATCAACAATAACTTCAACTCAGCTGGTGTGTTGGGAATGATTGAAGTAAATACAGGATGAAATTAGACCTTTGATGTCATGCCTTGAACATATACGAATTATCACTTTTCAGGCTCATATCTGGTTTCATATTTCTAAAATTAACAGAGTTGATCAGGTTTTAAAAGTTTCCTTCTTTTATTCCAAATCTAACTTTGTTTGGGTCTAAGGGTCTTGTGACTCATATATGTAGCTATACATACATGCTTTAACATATGCATCAATATGAATATACATGCTTATCAAGCATATATGCATGTGTATCATATCACACAACTATGCATATACATACATGTACAGTATACACAAATATGCATGTGTTCATATTGTGAGGAATTAGATGGCATTAAGTTTAAGATTAAAAAATGAAAAATTAATGTATACATGCATGCATATGTATGCATAAATTTTATATGTACATACATATACGAGCAGTTTATATGTGAAAATATGTGTTTTATTTCATTATGTATGCATTGTATGCATATGTACATATATACACATAAACATGGGAGTTACATGTAAACATAATGAGATACAAAATATAATAATACATATTGTAAGTTTGTATGCAGGTATATATTATTCATATTTTGTGAGTGTGTGTGTGTTTATGTGATAAAAAGAAGAATTAAAGAAATTTGAAATTTGCCACTTGGGTAATTATCTCATCTAATTGCTGTGAGTCTCTTTTGAGGGTACACAAAGCAGGGAAGAAAGAGGGGGAGGGGTATAATTGTGTCTTCCTAAAGATCATAAACTTGGTAGAATAGAATGTTGATGGACATAAATATCTGTGCAAATCACTATTCAAAATACCTTTACTCTTTTTCACCCCATCTCCTCTTCTGTATCTTCCACATGTGCTTTCTGATAACAATTGATCCCACTTTGTAACTTGTTGAATTGATTAATCTATTGTAAGATAGATTAGAAAGGTGGTTGGTGACAAGGGAGATGGTATCCCTAGTCAAATTAGGATTTCATTGAGCTGCCTCTCACTTAGTGGTAGCAAATATACAACATGAATCAGGGATTAATTACAAAATGAAACATGGTAAAAAAAAAAACTTGGTATAATGTAAAAACATTTTTAGCACTTGTGTTCCATCCCCATCCCCATTCCAAAGCTATTTAAAAATGAGATAATTCAGTAGCACTGGAATATTTTCATATCTAAAGTTCCATGCTAATACTAGCTAGTTAACTCAATTTCATAAACCAAGATAGAATTTATTCCAAGGTTATGACTTTTTTCACCATTGAAAACAAGTAGTTTTGCTCTGTTTTTGGTTCACAAATTTAGCACTATCCTTCAATCATACATTTCACAACTCCTAGCCGTTAAAGGTCAAGTGGTCAGTCTGAGAATACAGATGGCTCAGTATAAAGTATTTCTACTCCATAGAATACGATTCAAAGAACACATCCTAAAGATGTTGTCATTCAAGTGACCCTTGCATACAATAAAATTATTTCCATACATCAATTGAATATCTTTTATAGGAGATAAGAAATTATTTTCATAGAATTAATAACAGAACTTAGCATTCTTGGTAAGAGAGAGTTAGCTTGGATACCCTCTAAGATCCCATCCAACACTGAATGACTATGATTCCATGTACTTTGTATGAAGTATACATGGATATAATCTGTCCATTAAAATCTGAATAAAATACTGTCTTTTCTATTTAAAAATTTCATTGTTGAGTCACTAAACATATAACTGGGTTATTCATCAGTATTGGTGAATAGCCATGGAGATAGACATACATGTTGTTGTTTCCTTGGTGTGTCATTCACATGTAAGATCACTAGTTAGTGTAAGAAATTTCAGAATGTAGCTGTAGAGAAATTTTGAGTGGGACCCCAAGGGTTTGTTACTCACTAATCTGGGTTCTTGATTTTGAAGTCTTGATTTGAATATTTACTATTAAAATAATAGTAAGAAGTCAATTAAGGGGGCAGAGCCAAGATGGCGGAGTGAAAGCAGTGACTTGCTTGAGCTCTCCCCCAAATCCCTCCAAATACCTATAAAAAAATGACTCTAAACAAATTCTAAAGCAGCAGAACCCACAAAAAGACAGAGTGAAACAAATTTCCAGCTCAAGACAACTTGGATGGTTGATCAGAAAAGTATAATGCCCCAGGAGAGGAGAGGAGCACAGTTAAGCATGGGCATGGAGTCCACAGCGACCCTGGAGCAGGCCTCACAGGACTGAATTGTGGGCAACTGTGGAGGTTTCCAGACTTCTCAACACACAAATGGCAAAGACAACTTAGAAGGTCAGTGGGAAAAGTCTGTGTCTGCAGTGAAAGAGAAGCTAGGTCTCAGCCGCAAGTTCTGAGTTCGGCCTCCAGGGCCACGGCAGTTTCCTGAGCTTCCAGCCCACAGACTGAGGGGGAATCAAGTGGCTAATCAGAGAGGTATTGCAGGGATCTCTTTTCCAGTGCCGAGGCAGGAATCTCTTGCTTTGCCCGGCTTGGATCTGGGTTACAGTTCTGAGGGGTGGTCCTGGGGCAAGGAGGAGCAATGGTGTGGTGGACCTTGTTGTGGTGGTGCAGAGGAAACACCTCATCCCTTATCATACCACCTTGGAAGAACTGAAAATTTACAGGTCCCTAAAGTATCTCTGAAAATTGCTGTACAAACCCCCGAAGCTTGGGACAGTATATTATCTACATTGGAAGCAGACTCTTACCTTAACAAAGAGTTTAAAATTCAAGTAATTGGTTGGGATCATGAGCAAGCAGTGCAAAAAGAGTCAGACTACATTATCTTATTTTGGTGACAAAGAAGATCAAAACATACAACCAGAAGAAGACAACAAAGTTAAAGCTCCTATATCCAAAGCCTCCAAGAAAAGTAGGAATCAGTCCCAGGCCCTGGAAGCGCTTAAAAGGCATTTTGATAAGCAAGTAAGAGAAGTACAGGAAAAACTGGGAAGAGAAATGAGAGTGATGCAAGAAAATCATGAAAAACGAGTCAACAGTTTGCCAAAGGACACCCAAAAAAAAACACCTTAAAAAATAGCCTAACATAAATGGCAAAAGAGGTCCAAAAAGTCAATGAGGAGAAGAATGCCCTAAAAGGCAAAATTGGCCAAATGGAATAGGATGTCCAAAAGATTACTGGAGAAAATACTTCCTTAAAAATTAGAATAGAGCAAGTGGAAGCT